AAGACTACGCCCTCACTCAGTCGTCGTCCACCCCGTCTAATACACCGAAGCAACCAATTCTAAAGGTGTATAATCTAAATAAGTTCATGAGAGAAACCTCTTACATGGATTTCAAATATATTGTTACGTCTCCGTTTGTTAATTGATTTTCCGTAAATTCGTTCCGACGAAACCTTAGCGACACAAGTCCTTACTTAATAAAACTGGTTTATTCTTTGCGAATATAACTTTACCGATACACTTATTTTCAACAGTCGCTCTATAACAACGAACGTTAACATCAACAATACTTTCTGACTGCAGTTCAATTACTCACTACCTACACACATTGTCCCGTCACGTTGTGACCATCTTATATATACCAGACTACCCTATATCTAGTAAATGCTAGGGCATTCACGAAGGAACAAGATATTTTCAGAAAGCAGGTGGTGTGACACCAGTCAAGTGACCTCGCTGACGCAACAACATGTATAAAACATACACCTGGATTAACTTTGACACGGAGAAAATTCATGGGAGATAGCCCATTCACGTTCAAAAATTGGAAAAAGAGTCACAGACTCAAAAAGCATTCGAGAAGCGTTAGTCACAAGAAAACAATGGAAGTGAATCAACTCGAAGATCAATGCCAAATTCCAGACTTTTATGTTGAATCAGTTGGATGAGGCTCATAAACAGGAGGTTCTCCACATATGCGAGTATTTACATATAATCACCGAGTGCCTGCTCTTTACTATGTAACAAAACATTGTGATAAGAGGACATGAGGAGGATAGAATAAACATCGAGGAAATGTCCAATATCAATAAAGACAATTTCCTGGAATTATTGCACTGCAGGAGCAAGTATCTTCAGTGGCTCAAGGAGAAATTACAAAGTCAATATGAGTGAGGCACATGCTCAATGGACATCGCCATCCACCCAGAATGGGATACTAAAAATTGTATCCAAGCTCTTTGTGAAGCAGATCATTTACAATGTGCTGATGAGCGGAAAGTTCGGAATAATCATGGGTAAAACCTCGAATATCAGCCAAATAAAGCAACTGGCACTTTGCTTGAGATACATTTTGGAGAGTAAGATAAAAAGGCATTCATTGGATTCTTCTCGACAGCATAAACTGAGGGTGAAGTGTTAAGTGAACTCGTGAAAAATGGTTGTCAGTGGACTCGGCCTGAAGCTGGAGAAGTGTTGCAATGGTGCGTCTAATATTAGTGGCGTTCCTAAAGGAGTAGCAACTCGAATGAAAGAGTGCTCACCGTGAGGAATATATGTGCATTGTTATAGTCATCTCCTCAATCTCTCGCTGCAGGATACTAGGAGTTAGATAGAGTCACTTAGAAAAACACTCGGGACAATCCAAAGCCTTTATAATTTCCTGTAAGTGAGTCCAAAATGTCACTCTTTGTTCAAGTATATTGAAGTAAATGATGATCAAATCGTTCTTACACTAAAATCTTTGAGTGTAACAAGATCGTCATTCTGATGGGATGCAGTGAAAGCTGTTACTGAGCAGAGGTAAAAAATTACCAAAGCTCTCCTCATCTTAGTGGCCTGGCATGGCCAGGTGGTTAGGGCACTTGCATCACAATTTGAGGGTCACTGGTTCGAATCCCCGTCCCACCAAACATGCTCACCCTTTCAACTGTAGGGGCGTTATAATGTGACGATCAATCCCACTATTCATTGGTAAAAGAGTAGCCCAAGAGTTTGCAATGGGTGGTGATGACTAGCTGTCTTTCCTTTAATCTTTCACTGCTAAATTAGGGATCCCCCCTCCCCACTTAACAAAGTACATTTAGCCTATTGTGTAGCTTTGCACTAAGAAAACAACAATAATTAAATTTCTTTATCGATATGTCAGTGACAGTAAAAATTATAAATTTGAAATCAGCTTGGTAGTTATCAAACATTAGAAGTTATGATATAATAATGATTTCTACTTTAATATAATAAAAAAAACATGATGTACTGAAGCTTGTTAGTCACACTTTTTAAGAAAGATGTTCCAAGTCCCATGCTAATATAATTCCTCATTTCAAGGTGATAAAAACTGTCCCAGTAATTATAGACCTATTAGTTGTGGGAAACGTTTTGGAAAGTCTGTTAAAAGATGCTTTGCAAAGTCATTTAACAAAGTTTAGAATTTTATTGGATAGCCAACGTGGTTTCACTAAGGGAAAAGCCTTACAATTCTCTTAACATTCTCTGGAAAAGTTACTGCTTATGTAGATGAGGGTAAGGGTGAATATTTGGTGTATCTGGATTTTCAGAAAGCATTTGACAAGGTGCTACATAAAAAGCTTGTAAAAAAAATAGCTCTATAAGTGTGGGGGATAAGTTAGGAAATTGGATAGAAGGGTGGCTGGATGGAAGAAAGCAGAGGGCTGTTACAAATGGAGTTCAGGCAAACTGGATTAATGTCACAAGTGGGCTACCTCAGGGCTCAGTTTTAGGACCTTTGCTCCTTTTGATTTACATCAATGACATACATGATAGGAGAGTCAATAAATTACTTAAATTTGCTAATGATATTAAGGTCTTGGGTGTTGCTAG